CTTTCGCGCTACGGACAGCCATTCATACAGCAACCGGTATTTACACTCATGATGTCTAGCCCCCTTCTAGTGCGGGTGGCGCTGCCTTTCTATGACGCGTTTTGAAGAGCAAATATACGTCTAGTATTTCTAACTGGTACTCTGTAGGCACTTCGACCTTTTATTATAAAACTACATGACATACAGCACCGTATTCAATACTGAATTCCAATTATAAGCCGGTATTTTGTCATATCAGCTCAATGCGGAGAAGCCACTTGTGCCTATACGTGAGAGTTGTACAACAATCATCTCAGATTTTTGTATTTGCAGTTGTTCTTTCAAGAAGATCATGTTTGTTGAATGTTTGTCCATCTGAACTGTGAAGTTACTTCTTGAGTACAGCTCAGGACGCTTCCGGCTGGCAAAAAATGGCACTGCGTTGACCTGCCGAAATTAACGTTGACAAGTCACGTACGCATTTTATTATCAAAAGTTTTTACGTAAACATGTTTTCCTGTGAAAGTCGTAGCAGCCACTTGGGAAAATATAAAACGGTGCTAGAGAAAACAGCCTGGGAAGCGACTTCACTGGAAAAAAAGTATTCATACTCTCTTGCGTTCTCTGGCTTACTTATGGCTATAAGGTTGTGGCTTCCAGGTACGGAGTTAACGCCGTTTTCAGCGGAAGAAAAAGTGGGTCGCATTTACTCAGTGTTGAGGAAGTGATTACGGAAGCCCGAGTGGTGCGATAAAAAATGTAGCATCAAAAACGTCCAACAGTTTGTTTTGTGCGCATGTAGTGTGCTGTGTAGAATACCATTGTCGTGTGGGCAGGTGTTTTGTGATGGGCAAACTGGAACGTGCTATCATAAAAAGACAGGAAGCTGAGCCAGTTGGTGACAAAAAAGAAACATGCTTCTATGTGTGACCACATCAGTCTCTTGATTGGTAGGCCGTGCAGGCATCTGGCGTTGCACTGCAACGAGTGCAAAAGCAGCTGCAAGCTATTTTGTTTAGAAAACTGTGATGTAGACAAGTAAGGGGTCAACACAGAGGGAGATTTTAAAGATATCCATTATCCGGCGGTAGAGGCATTATTACATTAACCATCGATCTATCTTTCTATAGGAATCAAAGATAGCTTTCATGAACAACGAGACAACTTATTGTGCTGAAAGTTTGTATGTTCTTTTATATTTACACGCCGACTCTTTTTGTTCTATTTAGTTTGACTATGTCTTAAATATGTTTTTTTCCTGAATAAATAATCCTGTTGCTTGTAGTGAGTTTCCCTGTGTCTTCATTTTCCTTGTTTGCTGTATTTTTCGCTTCACGCTCAGTGTTCAATAAGCAACATTCACTTGCCCAAGTGTTATTTCACTTATATATAGTTCTTTATCAGTTATCACGGGCGATGGCTGACCCACACATTCGACCTTCCTTTTATATTATGAAGTGCTTTAGAAGTTTTACTGTTATCTAGTGCCAATAGCGGAACAAAACTGAGGTGCCTGCGAAACTAGGTGACCATCCACAGTCTCTGCAATTAAAGTTGAAACGAGAAACGAGATGAGACACGTGACCGCATCAAAGAGAGAGAGATGACAAAAGTTGCTGTGATACCATATCTGCCTGGTCTGTCATTTAGCTTTCAATAGGTTCTTGGCGTGTGGTTCAGGTAGCTTTATTCTTTTTGCCAAAAAGAAGGTGCGTGACAAATGCGTAACAGTTCGCAGACGCATCAAGTGAAACTCAGGGTTGACAGCCAACGAACACGCCTACAAACATATTGATAGTGGATGTTTCATAGCATCCCACGTAGCCTTGTTTGCGTCGGTTGGACGCGTAGCTGCTTGGATCTGCATCCCAATGAGCGTACGAATACGCCTGAAGGCCCTGTTTGCTACCCATTCCGCCGTGCGCTACTTGCCGTCCGAATGCACATTAATTGTGCCACACTTTTCTTCTACCATTCAGACAAGATGATGAGCAAAATTTGTGAAGTCTTCTCTAATATAAAAAGGTACTAAATATGTAACAGAGCCGTCGCTCACGCCATTCTATAAAGTTGTGTTTTATTTATACCACACCACACAGCATATAGCCTCGGTAAAATTGTCAGGTATATTTCGGTGACTTCTGTTTTTTTTCATGCTCAGTTTTACCCAAAGTGTGGCGTAGGTGATTCAGTAATACTTCTGTGTGCTGGTGCATTGGTGGTATTGTACGTGTGAATTATATTTCGTTTTTTTATTGAACTGCATTTAAAAGCGCTTGTGTTGGGTTTTTTTCCTGTTCGTTTCATACGAGTGCCTGTGCTCGTATAAATCGACAGCTAATCGACAGCTTTAAAAACAAATAAACTGCAGATTTCAAGCTGGCTACAATACCTAAATATATGAAGCCTAGAAGATTGATAAACGCAGTTTGGAAAGACGCATACCCAAAATTAGAAAGTATAACGAAAACTTACCCTGGGACTGGCAACAATTCAGTAAAACAACAGCTTCTTGAAGAGAAAATCAACACTTACATAAGCCGTACGTGATATAGTACAGGTTAGAGCACTCTGCTTAGGCAAACCAAATGCTACGACATTTCCGATGCACGTTAAAAGTTAAAAAACCGCTAACATGCAGATACATTTTAACTATAATTTTCTAAATTGGCCACCCAATTGCTTAAAAATGACAAGAAAAATAAACTTACACATTCATCATTGTCTATGTTTACGCATTTATAATGCTGCCTATAATTAAGCTTTCATTTAAAATTGCACAGATTTCTAGTGCCAAGGAAACTGATTTTATTCGGAGCACGCGGAAGGAAAGGTACCATGGTGTAATTTCGTTACTGAGATTGAAGCGTTAGGAAATTCTGCTAAACATCGGTACAGATGCTTAGCCGTTGCATATGTGTCATATAGTCAATTGTTTGCACAGGCCTAACGAAGCCGACCGCAAATGAGATACCACCAATCCCTTAAGCGGTGAGCCGTTATGAAGCACTTGCACTTCCTAAGAGGCAGCCCTGGCAAGTTCTACGTAGACCAGTTCCAATAGACGGCGCCTAACTATGCGATTGACGTTAACCAGACATGACGCTTGTATATTAGGACTACATAACCTCTGTTTATGAAATTCCATCGCGAATGCAGCAACCACAAATGACGTTTAACCCACGTTACGCCTGCATTGTCTATTTTCTTGCTTGGACCCTAACACTTTTATTTTGCCCTCATCGGGCCAACGCTGTTGATGTTAGTTTTTTTAAAGGTATCAGCATTTCAATTATCGGTGTCCGTTCTTCATGTTCCTGGTTAGACATAAGCTGTCAGTCACCTATGAAGCAAACACGCAACCTGTAGTATTAGTGTATGAGCCACACCTGTTTAATGGTCTCATGTTTCTGTATAATTCTTCGGCGCTTCCTACTAAGATAGATTCACACCAACGGGCTAAATATAATTTTGAGTGCGAAACACTTCTTAGTGAACTTCAGAAACATTCAGCGTATTTATCTATCTATCTGTATATCTATATATCTAGCCGCTTAGGTTTGGGTGCTTTCGTAGTCACCCCCTCAACTCGGCCTGAACCAAATTTAGCATAGGAGAGTAAGATGATTTGACGAATATGACTCGCTGGTCAAGACATAAATAATGTCCCACTCCCGTCACGTGCGTCGTCAAAAGCTTCCCCTCCCCCCGACAGTGGCATATATCCAGGGGTGGGTATGTGCCGCTGATACGCGGGTACGTGCCACAGGTGATTGACGCTTAGTATATACCCAGGAACGACGAGAACACACATGGGCAACTTTCACGCGTGAGCGTTAAGCAATACCCGACATCGGCAGCGTCAACTCAACGAAGGCATAGAATAAATGTTATGCTTAAAAAACCGGACATACGCAAGGCGCGGGTTCGAATCCCGGCGGCGGCGGCTGCATTTCCGATGGAGGCGGAAATGTTGTAGGCCTGTGTGCTCAGATTTGGGTGCACGTTAAAGAGCCCCAGGTGGTCGAAATTTCCGGAGTCCTCCACTACGGCGTCTCTCATAATCATAAAGTGGTTTTGGGACGTTAAACCCCACATATCAATCAAAAAACCGGACATAGGCACCATTTGCCCCCAACGAATGCAAATAATAAATTTCATGGTCCTATAGCAAAAATCAAACCCAAGTATTCTGCGTGGCAGTCAAGCAGTCTACCACAGAGCCTCACCATGTCTTGCAACAATTTTTTGAATAGACGCAAATCTTCGTGAAACGTCAAAAGTGGTTGCACTGCCGCTTACCCAATTTATTAAACGTTAAATATGTACTCATTTGATACAGCCGTCAAGACGGGTTAACATCAATTGTGGTTAGGTGGCATGCGCTGAAGTTGATTGATGCAAAAGGGTCCAGGGCCAGCATCTTCGCGAGCATCGGTGCTTCATATCAGCTTTTGGTGTTACTAATACGCATGTTCCAGTTGACATCGTTGCGTAAGTGAAAACAGCTGCTCATATACACAGCTCCTACTCTTAAACATATATCTGTACGTGCATAATTTGTGCATGTATTTAGCGTCAATTCATGAAGTGTAGCTCAATAAAAAAATTGCAACACGGTCACCTTCCCTCCGCATGCTTCGCATAACATCAATTCCCAGTTACGTGGGATCTGCCAAGTTTTCATGCAAGAAAGGGCTTTACACGTAAACAGTGGAGTTTTCATGTTATACATGACATGAACAGTCAGACATGTTCGTCACACCATTTTACACTTCCATAAAAATATTTGTCTACCGTCTTACCCACGTGAGCTGATCACGAGGCCACTAATACCAATACGTAGGGAGATAGATAGATAGATAGATAGATAGATAGATAGATAGATAGATAGATAGATAGATCGATAGATAGATAGATGCTGTTGAGCAAAAATGCTGCTGATGAAAATAGTGGCAATCACGATTCTGCGCTTGAAAGTGCATCGCCGTCATGGTCTCTGCTCATTGCATCCTCTGCAGGAATTGGGTACGCCATCTGCATTCTTGACTTGTACATGGCCATGTACTACAACACAGTGATCGCCTGGGCACTTTACTACCTTGTGGCGTCTCTGGCCTCGGAGCTACCCTGGACGCGCTGTGACAACCCCTGGAATACAGCGACATGTCGTACGCTTGCCGAACGTGCTAATGCCACGGGACTGGCCACTAGCCCTGCGCAAGAGTACTTCGAGTGAGCCTTCCCCCTTATGTCTCAGTCATCACTTTCCTTTCTGCCTTTCACGTTTTCTTGAACACATTTATTTATGAATAGCGCTGTCAAGCAGGTCACACCACCCTGGATTCAGTACCAGTGTAGTGTAATGTATAGATAGTTTATTTGCAATTCGCAGGCTCGTAATGTTTGCCTTTGGAATGCTTCGTCACGACAACGTGAAGATCACCATTGGATGCCGTAATGATTCTTTTATTAAATGCGAAGCATTTCTTGGCGAACTTCGACGACTTTGAGCGTATATATCTGTCTAGCCGCTTACGTTTGGGTGCCCTCGTGGTCACCTCCTAACTTGGCGTGAACGAAAATTAGCATGGGAAGGGAAGATGGCTTAGTGAATATGGCGCGCTGGTCAAGACATGAATTATTGTCACAGTCCCGCCACGTGCGCAGTCAAACGCTTCCCTCCAGCTGGTGGCACATACCCACGGGCGGGTATGTGCCGCTGGTTTGCGGTTATGTGCCACACGTGGTTCACACTTAGCATCTACTCAGAAACAACGAGAACACACGTCGACAATTTTAACGCGAGCGTTAAGAAACAGCCGACATCGGTAGCGTCGACCCAGCGAACGCAAATAAATGTCGGAGTCCCAGCTGGAATCGAACCCAAGCATTCTGCGTTGCAATGAAGCATATTACCACAGAGCTAAGCCAGGTCTAGGAACTACTTTGTATATATATATATATATATATATATATATATATATATATATATATATATATATATATATATATATATATATATATATTATGTACTCTTTCGATGCAGCTGTCACGTCGGGTTCACGTCAGTTAGGGTTAGTTGATATGCGCTGAAGTTGATTTATGTAGCAGTGTCCAGGCCGGCATCTTCGGGAGCATCGGTGCCTCATATCAGCTTCAGGTGTTGCTAATACGCATATTCCAGTTGGCATCGTTGCGCAAGCGCGAACAACTGGTTATATAAACATCTGCAACCCTTCAACATATGTCTGCGCATGCAATATTGGGACATATAATTAGCGTCATTTCACGACGTGTAACTCAATAAAAAAATCGCAACATGGTGGCGTTCCCTCCGCATGCTTCGCATAACGTCGATTCCCAGGTACGTGGGTTTCTGCCAATTTTTTTTACAATCCTTCATCCCGTCTAATTTGCAGATAATCACGGTCATTTTGAACCATCGTGCTCTCGTAGGCCTGCCGTTGTCGTCACGGTCTTGTCTAGTCTTTAGTGTAGCGCTCCATGTAGGATTACACAGACACGCCATTTCTGGTGCTATAATGCACCAAGTGTCACATGACAAGATAAATGGCAAAGGCGATCGTGGTGACTTAGCGAGAATTACGCTTCACCTACTGTTCATTCCCAATGAGTACATGTGAATGATTCATCACCTGTAGGTACTACACCTATTTACGCATCCTCTGAACAAATAAAATAGTAGGTGGCCTATGGTGACGAATCTTGCCTACAATAATCATGAAGTGCGTTTTGAGCATCTACAATGTTTTTGTCAGCAACATGACTAACATTGTCACAGATATGCAAATGCCACTCTGGAAGAGCCACCGAAATAACTCGGAATGGACGAATACGACAACGTTGTTGTTGTGAAGCTGAGTACGGACCAGCTATCAAAAATACCCCTAACACAACATCTATAGTAGCGGCTAAACTTCGGACGAAAATAATAATACGAGAATTCCCTACACCATATTTAAGAAATTCCCCAGGTTTCAATCACCTAATGACACTCTGGGATACTTCCTCATGCCATACCAGAGGTCTGGAAGTTTCAATCACGTAATTACGCTGTCGTATTCCTTCATTAAAATTTATTTAATCAGAGCAGGCTTGACTCCCTTACCACTTTATTCTTTTTGTTGAGAACAGCAAATTATAAAACACTTCTTGATCTCTGGTTGGACGTTTTTCAACATTAAGAAAGATATCTCTAAAAAAAAACGCCAAAAATCTTGTATTAGCTCTGACATCGTCAAACTTACTATCCCTAGGTGTACATACCCTTAGGCACAGCAGCGGGAAAGTGTGCGAGGCCGTGCAAAATTTCATCAAACAGTCAAATAGTTTCACTCAATAACCTGAATAACGAAGGTTCTCAGTTCACCAATGTGGGCTACAGAAAACGTTTCTCTGATATAAATAATTTATTGCTAATTCTGTAAGAATTACTTGATCCATTTTTTTATCAACAATATTTTACAAAAAACAATATTTTTGTTGTACTGAAAGAGAAATTATTCTTTTCACTAGGATATAAATAAGCTGCCAGATTTTTTACCAGTCCCCCAAAGTGGACGTGAGCCAAAATTTAGCATCTACATCAACATCTACATCTGGGTTGTACTGTTGCATGGTATTCTATGCGCTTTGTGCAGTTTCATTTTAAAAATGATCTCGGCTTACAGTACCTAAATGAAGTATCCCTGTAAAATCTTCTTATAGGTGCGAAAGTTTTCGAGGCGAAATTCAGGAAATCAAACCACGCAATGGTAACCAAGAAATAGCTTTTTAGGTGAGCACAGCCCTTATCAATCCGAAAATAAAACGTTCCAGGCTCGGTTGATATGTGGAGTTTAATGTCCCAAAACCTCCATATCATTATGAAAGACGCCATACTGGAGGGCTCCAGAAATTTCGACCACCTGGGGTTCTTTACCGTGCACCGAAGTCTCAGCACACGGGCCTACAGCGTTTTCCCTTCTCTAAAATCTGGAGTTTCCGCAGTCGGGATTCGATCCCGCGACATGCGGGGCAGCAGCCGAGTACCTTAGCCACTAGAGCACCATGGCGGGGCAACATGTTCTAGGCTCAACGAGAAAGAAATGCCGGGCATGTTTTTTTCCCGGCTGTGTAAACATATCAAACAGGAATTTGAAGCTATGGATGCATCGAGTTAGTATAGACGTTTTGTTTCTAGGGAAAAAAAATCTTCAGTTCTATGTAATGATTGATTGATTGATTGATTGATTGATATGGGGGGTTTAACGTTCCAAAACCACCATATGAATATGAGAGACGCATTTAGTTCTATGTAGGTGAACGATGAGGGGCTAGTGCGCGCAGGTCTATGGTTAGATGCGCAGCAGCTTATTGCTTAGCTCAATCCGGTGTGTGGCGTGACCACCCTTACTTCGCGTCTACTCCCCCTCTCTTTCCTCTCCTACGCTCTCCCTCTCTCGCCTCGTGACACCGTCACAGGCAGCATCTGCTAACCTGCGCTCGCTCCCCTTGTTTCACCTATCAGTATTTCACATCACGGTGTTTACGCCACCACAGCACGTGCAATCTCCCCTCCCGCTCTGTTCTCACCTACGTGCCCCCCTCCCTCGCCTCGCAACGTCGATGCAGGCAGCGTCTGCTAGGGAGGTTTTAGAGGAAAGCTGTTAGGAGATCACAACGCAGGTCACGCGCAGTTGTCCGCTGCCGCTGTTGCCAGTGCCGGTGTCCGCAACAATATTTTTCTTTTCCGAGGCCAGCCCAGTATTCTACCACTGTGATACGCCTAAACTTGTGACTTGTTGGCAAACTTGCCTTAAGCAGGCTTGAGGTCAGTAAAGCAAACGCGTTAATACGATATATAAAGTGTTTTAAAACAGCAAAACAACAACCAATCACCGCACAATGCAAGTAGAATAACAAGTGGGCCATCCAATGCTCCAACCCATTACAAAAAATCATTCCCCTAATAAGTGTGGCGCAAAGCCACCTCATCCATGCATCCTTATTGTCGTTAGCCACCGCATGGACAGTTGGCACAAAGTTCCTCGCAAATGTTTAGCGCATACCACGCTACTCAGAATAATGACGAAAATTAGCATAGCGAATTCCGGCCTACTACTCACAAAAATATTATTAATGACCTAGTGGGTATCAAGAAAGTGTGCTTACATTATTTACACAATGAGTGTTCTGAAAAAGCTCTGGAAGCCTGCTCTTATACCTTTCGCTGTGACTGCGCTGCGCCTTCCGCGCAGGCCTGGCGTTTTCTTTTGTTGAAAAAAATACCCCTGTATCTGCATACTTCACTGCCGATGTCATTAAAAGTCTTGCATTTCGATGGAGTGAATAAAACGTTTATTGAATGTTGTGCGCGAGATAATTGGTGAATAGAAACCTGGAGGCGCTGCGTGAGACGTGAACGCCGTCTGGCAGTAATCTTGGAAGACGATAGGAAGGCCTCGAAAATAGTGAGCATGTGGCTTGTGCGCGCAATCACAGAGACCATGAATTGCAGAATGTAAGGCGAAGGGTAGATACCATTACCCGCATTGTCACGCATAGTGTCACAATGTGAGCGCAGCATAAAAAACGCTGCAATAATTAGAAATGGCGATATATATATGTATATATATATATATATATATATATATATATATATATATATATATATATATATATATATATATATATATATATATATATATATATTGAGCATGCCCTGCCGCGGTGGTCTAGTGGCTAAGGTACTTGGCTGCTGACCCGCAGGTCGCGGGTTCGAATCCCGACTGCGGCGGCTGCATTTCCGATGGAGGCGGAAATGTTGTAGGCCCGTGTGCTCAGATTTGGGTGCACGTTGAAGAACCCCAGGTGGTCGAAATTTCCGGAGCCCTCCACTACGGCGTCTTTGATAATCATATGGTGGTTTCGGGACGTTAAACCCCACATATCAATTATATATTGTGAGCATCATTACTCGTTCCATCTTTTCCATCTAAGTGGTGGTGCGTTTAGGATCTAGTACCGCTGTAGCCAACGCTACCTGTTCCGCTACTTCTGCCATTTATGCATAAAATGAGGCAGACGAGAGATGGTCTCCTTTGTGGCCCACAAAAGTGATTGAAAATCTACCAGCATTTTCGTGGTGGGCGGCATCGACGAATGCTTCTGTACCCATAAGTATCTTTAGCAATGCTCTTGCCCTTGAGAGCATTTTACCCTTGTTAAAT